ATAGAGACTGGTAGAATATCATAGAGGGAAGCACAGTAGATCAAACTGGTCGCGGTGCATGGGGAAACCCACCCTCTCTAAATAAATAAATAACTAACTTTGGTGGGGATGCATCGGGGCACCTCATGGTCCTACTGGGCAGTGACAGTCTCAGGGTCTGAACAGTATGACTAGCTGGGGCTGGCGGCTAAGTTCCCATAAAGGACAATGGCGTTTCTACGACCGGAGTCTCTCACGTGGCGGCATAATGACTCTTGGGTGTTACTATGGTCTACCCGGGATGAATGTGGGTGAGCACTCGTATGGGGGTAGTTTTGGCTACTTGGGCTGTCTCCTTAGAGTACTGATAAGGTGCCGCAAGCCTTGGGGCTCAGCACTCTAAAACGTTTTCACCAACCCATGTGGAGGGGTGGGAATGTGGGGAGCTTATATGCCACCCTGAGGGGCGACTGTTTCATGCAGGTTTCCTTTGTCGCAACCTCATGATCATCTGGGATACCCCCCCTCACCTCGAACGGGCACTGTAGGTCCTGCAGGCTTGTGAGGGTTTAATCAACTAAACCACCTATGCCAAGGTGTGAGGCATCGTGCTGAGAGCTGTGTGACACTGGGGTGGTTACTAGCCAGTGTCGTGAATGATCCCCTCAGGGCACCAGGCAGCACCCCGTTGTATTTATGCCTTCCACCTGTATGGGGTGCTGCGGGTGGTGACCTAATTCCCCATGACTCGTGGGACCAAAATGTATATTGGAACCAAAATAAAAACCGGTCATAAGGACCTTAAACAGAAGAGGGACTCCTCTCCAAGGAGATCCCTATGAGAAATACTTCAGCAAGGGGCAGGAAGCTCTGGTGCACCGTTAAGGGGTCCGGTTGCAACCAGTGAACCTGCTGTTGAAATTTCAGCCAAAGTCAGGGACAAACCAGTGGTGAGAAACCTGCCTGAGGTAAAACCAGAAACAAATGTCTTGGGAGTCAGTAGTACTGACATACCACTGCAGGGAGCTAGTACTTCTAGCATACCTACAGCAGGAGAAGGTCTGGGACACCTAGTCCCTGGAGTAGGTGGATTTCATCTAGTGAAGAAGGCACTGTCCGGATGCGCTAGACAGAAACTAAGAAAAGGCGAGAGCTAGGACAAGCGAAGCAGGAACTGGGGGCATCCAGCAACCAGGAAATGCAGGCACACCCAAGCAGGGAGAAACCTCTACAGAAACCCTTAAGAGGCCAATGTTGGAGGGCAGTACCCCCACAGAATTGGCCAGAGCTCCAAAAAGCCCCAGGGACCCTAAGGGACCAGGGACTTATNCTTCTAGCTCACCTACAGCAGGAGAAGGTCTGGGACACCTAGTCTCTGGAGTAGGTGGACTCCATCTAGTGAAGAAGGCATTGTCTGGATGCACTAGACGGAAACGAAGAAGACGCGAGAGCTAGGACAAGCGAAGCAGGAACTGGGGGCATCCAGCAACCAGGAAATGCAGGCACACCCAAGCAGGGAGAAACCTCTACAGAAACCCTTAAGAGGCCAATGTTGGAGGGCAGTACCCCCACAGAATCGGCCAGAGCTCCAAAAAGCCCCAGGGACCCTAAGGGACCAGGGACTTATAAGGCAAGGAGGCTCTGACCAGTATAAAGGTAGCTATCTTCAGGGAAACATATCCTGAAGCTAAGCTAACAGAAGATGACCAGAACTCCATTCTGGAAGTACTGGGAGAGGTGTTACGTAGGACTCCAATAGGAGAACTACCACACCTGAAGTCCTACAGACTGGAGGGAGGTGCACTTGTTTATATATGCACTGACCAAGAGTCTGGTCAGTGGATCATCAAAGCTGTTGACAACTACAGGCTGGAAGATACTGCAGATCAGCTGGCAAGAACAGGATCTGAACAACCATTCATAGGATCTGAACCAGCTTGCGGCATCTCAGTTGGAGTTGCCAAGAAAGCGATCAGGGACTGGACAGATGGAAGTCACAAAAAAACACTGGAAATCCACAATTGGACTCAAACAGACAGAGGGATTTATATCAGGACCCTCTGCCAGAAGAATGAGAGACATGTTGAAATTAAACAGAGATCAATTTAGATGGGTGGTAGGATTACTCACTGGACACTGCCACCTAAAAGGACACCTTTCCAAACTGGGACTGATAGATGACCCAACCTGTGAAAGATGCCTACAAGATGAAGAATCAGCCACACATATCCTATGTGACTGTGAGGCCATAGCTTATTTAAGATTTCATCACCTGGGTCAGTTCTTCATGGAACCAAGTGACTTTTATGACACCCCCATAAATAAAGTACTACATTTCATTCGAAGTGTAGGATTAGTAAATGGTTAATCCAAAGGGGAAGAAGTACAATAGATCATTTAAGGTCGCAGTACAAGGGCCGCATTTTATGGCCCATCCCTTACATACGTATATACATACATGTAGATGCGCAGCAGTCCAGTGCGCAAACCTAACAGTGGCGTCTATTACCAAGCTGCTGCTTAAAGGAACGTAATGTAGGACTGCCATAACATGGAATATAAATCGAAACATGACGTTACAAGTATGTATAAAATTGAGCGTGTTGACTGTCGATGAACCCATAATCTCAATCTATGCGTTTATATTCCGAGGCTTTATTGCTACGTGAGAGCTTGGATTGTAACGAAAATGCCGCTCCCACGTCACAAGTTTACGCATCCCCACAGTGATACAAATGGTTACCGAATATCACATATGGCATTATGCTGCCCTCCAATGGCATAACGTTACCACGAAAATTCGTGAGTATTAGTGAATTAGTTCCCACCTTGACGTGGATGGATACATGACCAATTCAGTGATTGATTGGCATTTGTTTCTCCCAAATTGCCCTTCGTGGATAGAAAGTGGGATATTATACACGAAAATATGTAAAAGAATAATGTGAGAAATTACCGTCCTGTAATCGATCTGATAATCGAATGTTTCTGTTTCAGTGATGTTAAGATGTTAAGAGGTTGGCTGCCCTGTCACTGTGACTTAAATATCAGGTGTTGAAGGGGTCGAAGAACAGGTTTGTTCAGAGAAGGGTATGTTTCTTTTCTTGGAGTGAAGATGTGTTGTGTGTGGTTTTATATATATAGTATTATTTCATCATGTCGTGTGAAATATGTACAGTGATTTGTACAAAATGTGTTGTAGTGGTTATATGGAAAGAAAGTGAATTCGATTTTATGAGTGCATATTTGGTATGACATGCAACTGGGTGTATTTTGGTGTGTAGCCTTTGAATATTACATGTGCGAGTAGGTTATTAGTCAGAATGATATACGTGTTTTTTTTTTTGCATCACTGTAAGTAGTTGTAATAAGAGGGTTCAAAGTGAAGTTCTAGTTCTCATTGAAGACGATATTGTTGAATTAATATCTTAGTTGCATGTGACATAGAGAGTGGTGAGAATATTGCATGTTGTTGTGGTCACAATAGTGTCAAGTGATAGTCATCTTCCCCATAAGTGAATCGGCAAATCCGGTGCCAGTGAACACATTGTTTTCATCAAGGATATATTGTCATAAGAAGATGGTGTGTATATGTGACACAAAAGATGTCAGTGATAACATTCTTGCAGTGATGTGTATAATTTAGTGAAGAATATGCACAATGGTGTGTAGGAAGTGTGTCATAGTGTGTAGAATAAGGGCAGGTGAGTGTGGTTTGGAAAATCATTTATGGTGTGACACAGAATGGAGTCTACTAACTTTACCAAAACTCAAGATTATGTATTGTGTGACATGTATTTAACTATATAAGGTAGACTTAATTTTTTCTTGCACATTGTGCCATTACAGGGTAACTGATGTACCCAAGTCGGGCTAACCTTGCAAACTTAACGTTATTTGGCTACATTTCAAGCGTGTGTCTGGTCTTCAACATGCTGTTTTCATTCCCCACAAACCACTAAAATGTCTGAGGTAAAATGATATGATTTTGATGTAGATACTTGGTGTTTGAGTCAGTGATTTCCTTTTTAAAGTTTTGACTTGAAGTTAATGTATTTTTATGTTTAAGATTAGTTTAGACAGCATCAGATAGGGCTCCGATGTAGTTAGATTTCATTGCGTAAGGTAAAGTCTTTGTATCCTTAACTTGTTAAGCACTGTGGCACGAGGGCATAGGGGGGAGTGGATGTATAGGTTCATGTATTCTTGACCTAGACGCTAGTTGAAGTTGAGTGGTCAGGTTCATGCCCCGGCCACTTTACTTCCAGGGAAGGAGCCCCTGGTATCCATTGAATAGGAGGTTGCTGTACTCATTTAGAAGGCGTTCATGTTGCTCCGACAGTGTATTTATGTGTTTCATATTATTCCCTTAATTGGCATTAGGCAGTTGGTCTCTGTAATGCAGACATGGTGTGTTTTCTTTGAGGTAAGAACTGAAATCTTAAATATCATTTAGATGGACTTCAGGCTTCACAGGGTTAAATTACCTGCCCTAATTGTGTCAGGGTGCATTGAATGAAAATTGTGGCAAAGGGTTGACTAAACTGAAGACATTCTCCCACTAGAATCTGCAGTTGGAGACTGAAGGAGGAATCTAAGTCAGGCAGGCAGCAAACCTGTAGGTGGTGCATTTTAAAGTGTGGTAAACCACTGGACACAGCACTTGATTAGTTTATGAAGGGAGTCTTCAAGTTTGCATGGGACTGAGTATGCAATGATTTCTGTTTTAAGTGAGCAGTCATGCAGAAAAATGTTGGAATTATTAAAGCCTTGCTGATGAATTGATATAAGTTGCCATTTCTGAATGCTTTTCATATGATGTCCCCCTTGGTCTCAGAGTGAAACTTAACCTGCCCCTTTTCCATGGAAACTTCATTTCTGTCTCAAGCTACATGTTGTCATGCATTATAAATACAGNGGCTCGTTCACTTAGAAGCAGTGGAGATGGTGTTGAAACTGCGTGACGTCAAGTGAAGGATCTCCATCATTGCCTGTGAGAACACTTCGGGGTAGCAACATGGAGAGTATTGCTGCTGAGCTCTAATGAGGTGATCAGTTGACTGTGATGTCTTTTTCAGATTGGGAGGGGGGCTTGTTTCAGCGCCATCAGTAATCTATTGATCTGGTAGAATTGAGCACAGGACGGTCTAGTTTCCATTGGTGTAGGAAGTCTAATGGTAGAATATCCCTTTGGTAGTTCAGCCCAGCTGAACACCATGTTGAAAACAGAAACACTGGATATGTCAGTAGTCTCGAAGAAATAAACTTTGTGTGTTGGAAGAGAGGAATATGCATTTAGGGAAGGGGGGAACTAGTTTGGGGCCATATATATATATATTGGAAATAGGCGTTTCAGAATCTTTTGGGTTTCCCCCTACATGTCAGATTTTTATTTTTGTAGCCCTTCAGGAAGTTATAAAAAGTGAATATATGGCACAGCATTGGGTAAACAGAGTTAAAGCTATCTGTGTAACAGGCTGTGAAGGCCCATGGGGTTGTGGGACAGTGAGGCTCCCACATTTTCTACACAGTCGGCTCACAGATTGTGGTAAGGTCAGCCCCACGTACCAGCTGCCCCCCCCCCAAAGTTCCTGGTACTCATTTGTGTCAGAGACTGGGTCAACCCTACAGCCATAGTGCGGCTGAAAGGATTAGTTAAATTTGAAAGAAATTCAGTGACCTCATTGGGAATAAAACCTGCTACCGCGTGCCCCACAGTATTTGGTGGAAATATTAAATTTTAAATCTTGTTATATCAAAATTACATTTCCTGACGTCAGTTATAGGAACTTTACAAGCTGTGTCATGCCAAAAAATGTGTTCCTTTCAAAATGTGAGTTCTGGCTATGAAGCAATTCAAAGGCATAGGGGGCAAAAATTTGACATTTTCATTCATTCCTACAGGGTGTACAAGCTTATCAAATTTCATTGTAACATGAAAGTTGGACTTTAGTGTGGCCAGTTATCATGGAATGAACGATTTTTGAAGGTGTACTTATAAGGTAGACATTTGAGACGACAATGGTTACAGTGTCTATAGTGGATAAGTTCTTCATTGTTGTAATTAGTGGCCAGATAATAAAGGTCACATCTGATGGGGACGCAGTTTGCATAATGACAAAATGTTGAACACCCACTGAATTGCTATATGCTTGCTGTTTCCAGTCTTGTGGCTTCCTTCACTCCCACCAGTTGCAAGAGGCAAGTGATGCAGAAAAATATGTGCACAGACTGGTGAGGAAAACGTAAAACACTTGGGATCTGTTGTTCCCATATGCAGACTGCTAGAATATATGTCAAAGAATGTAATAAGTAAAGATATAACACTCAGCATGTGACCTTAACAATTTCATGGCAGAATGCTGCTGACAGTGGACTGGTATGAAGCCCTGTGACAGAATAGGCAAGGGCCTACATATATAAGGGGTGAAGTGACTAGTGGTTTATGCTCTGTGAGTCATGTAAGTTGCAGAGTATGTATATTATACATGCAAGAGTGTGCCATGTCAGAATGGGTTTTAGCGTGAAGAATATTCTTGCACACCCAAAGTTCTGAGTACAAGAGTAGTTCTTATCTTGGGCAGTTTTATGTTAGGCCATTAAGTGAAACAGTAGGTTAAGTGCATTTCATTTCATTGGTGTGGAATCTTAGAGCAGAGGCAGTAACATTAGTATGATGATCAGGTGAACACAAATTATGTTACTGGTATCCATTTTACTTTGCCTAAAGCATTATTATTATTATTATTATTATTATTNCCTGCTTGACCAGACCTGGGATTGAACCCGGGCCACTGCAGTTGGAAGCCAGCGACTAACCGCTTGAGCTATGGCGCAACCCTTCCTAAAGCATCCTTTTGTTGCTGTTGTCAGTTCTTGTGGTTCCTTGTATTCAAGGATAATTCTTCCCTGTGTTTTGGAATCAGTATTTGTGTGCCATCTCCATTGTATGAGCTGTGAGGCAGTGTTAAGCTGTTCTTTCTACACGTGCTCAAATGTGGACAAGAACGTTTAGTTTTTCCCTCACTTTATTGTTTCTGCTTGAGATGTGTAATCCTTGCACTGGTACTCAGTTGAGTTTAAATTTTACATTAAATGTGAGACAGCCAATAAATTTGTTGCCATACTGTTAACTCCAAAATTTCAAACCATAAAAAATAATACTTGGAGGTTCTTTTCAGAGAGAATACATATGTCTGATTTTTTTAGTCTGGCTCTTGATTTGCAGAACAGTACTTTAGGATTATAATTGCTCCCTCACATTTCTGTGTTTGAAATGAGCTAAATGTTTAATAGGTATCTGTTTGTTATTCTTTTATATGTACTTCTACCTGGAAGAAAGTGTTCTAACCTCTGTACCATCCAGACTGTGACTAATGCCCGGAAAATTTAAAAATTCTTGAAAAGTTTTACAGATTTTTATCCTGTATGTTTTCTTCTTGGATACTGACTGCAACAATAGAGAGGAGAGGAAAAACAATATTTATTTTTGCTGATCTCCCAGTAGTGAGAGATGTGCTCAGAAAATACAGCTGTTGTCATTAAAGCCTTGGCTTTCGAAACTGAAAAGCCCAAAACATGAAGCTGGGTAAGTAGAGTATAATGATATGTCTCTGGAACTCTTTGAAGGGTGCTACCAAGTCCTCTATTTTATCAAGCATAATTTAGATTCTTGTAGCAAATGGCCACATTGACAGTGGTGACTTGTGAAACAGTGGATATGGCCACTTAGGATTCCATGCGCTTTCATATTCTCATATATCCTGTTATATAAATTTGGCATTGAAGGTACATCTGTTTTATAGCTTCATTTAATAAATTGTAAAAAGGAAAGTGTGCATTTTTCTCAAATGTACAAAAGTTCATAATTGAGAAAAATATTTCAATGCTATGTGAAAACACACGGGTCAAATACTATAACAATTATTTATTGATACACTCAACTCTCAATTATCCGGGATAATGGTGGGGATGGAAATCATGATTAATCAAAAACCTGGTTAAGACAAATTTTATTAAAAGTACTGTAATACTGTACCTTCATAATACTATAGGCCTACCTGTATTTAAATTTTTTCGACCTCATTTTTATGTCATCTCATGGCCTATTTAATACTTTTTTTTACATTACACTGAATATTCACACTTTAAACTTAAAAAATTTAATATTGTCGTTTGCTTTTTTCCGGCATT